TACCAGAGTATACGACCCATGCTGTTCACCGAATCCAATCCAGAATCACGAACTAGCCAACACAATACATCAAGATTGTTACTACCTCTAGAGCTACAGCTGAGGACTTAATAACTAATGGTTTATGCTATTACTTTTTTCACTTTAGAGCCGAACGACCAAAACGACGATACCAACCTTCCACAGCTCTTCCCCTTAAACCTCCAAATCACGAATCATGCACCAGGAAACTCACGACTCATCTGAAACGTCAGTCCCCAGCAACCTCACCAGCTCCTGAAACAGTACTGCCTTCTACTTCAAGTGAAAGTAACCTCCAGTACTCAAACAACAAACCTTCAGACAACGTCTCAGCAGACACAAACCGTCTCACCAATATCAACCATGTCACTCCCACCAACCATGTGTGACGTCTCAACTTCAACAGACAGCCTTGTACCCTTACACCAAGAAACACAGACTAGGATCGTCAGGAAAGACCGAAAAATTCAGACTGATGACCTCAACGATACTGACACCAAGAGAATGACAAGAGCCACGACAAGAACGTCAGACGCACTTCCAACTGAAGCCCCCGCGTCACCCAGAACAATCCAGCTACAAAATGTCCAGCTCCGACGAGCAATCAGCCGCAGCCCGATCCAGCTAAACCAAGAACCAACAATTCCGAGAATGACGTCGCCTATTCAAATGAACAACCTGTTCTAGACTTCAAACACCGCCAGCAGCTACATTGAGTGTATCCTATGTCAACTAACAACATGCATTTTTCCACAGCATTCTCCGGGCACGGTCAGGGCATTTTATTCGGCGCTCTGGTCGTGAAAGTGGGTTTTCTCGGGGTACTCCCGTTTCCCCTCACAGCAAAATTTCTCCTAATGCGTTGGATCCTCTGATCCTAGCCCTGAAAAGGCCCAACCCAGGCTAAAAGTAAAAGTAAATGTTACTCTTTAGTTCTATAGATCTCTATCAATGTATAAACAGGAAATGTTTACAAGTTTACAAAACAAGTCTGAATCCGCGAACCTAAACTCTACAGTCAGTTTAATATTAACATTTCAGTCAATCACGGACGTACTCGATCAACATCTCCCTGCTCTGCTCTACAAACACTCGTCGCCGCGTGATCATTCAGCGCCAAGTACAGCAGAAAGAAGAAAACATACCAGTGCCAACAAACAACCCAGCGAAGCTCTCCGCCCTTCTCTTCTTCTCCACATCTCCCCACAGCTTTTCCCGCCACTTGTGAGTTTACTAATGGGAAAATTACACGTAAGCGTTTAATACTTAAAAAGCCTCGGCAACCTATTTCTAATTATAGAGTGGGGTGAAGAGAAACAAATGTTTCTGACCGCCCCTGGTTATATTTCACTCCCCCTTCGGTGAATGAAACATATTACTAACCTAAATACCTACCAAGCCAAAAAGTAAAGTAAGTTCAAAACAGGAAATATTTTTGAATATTTCTCCTAAATAATAAGTTATCTTGACAAGTCATGTTTTTTTCTAATTAATTGTAATACGGAAGAGGGAGCTGCTCGCATCTCTTCAAACGCCAACTCTGGCCCTACTTTATACAAGTAAAGACAAACTTTTCAAAAAAAAGAAGTAATTGTAATTACAGGCAAGAATTAACATACATCAATATATATATATATATAAAACTATTCAATCACAGATGAGTTTAATTAAATAATTAACATACATCAATATATATATAACTATTCAATCACAAGTTTAATGAAATAATTAACATACATCAATATATATATATATAACTATTCAATCACAGTTGAGTTTAATTAAATAATTAACATACATCAATAGATATATAACTATTCAATCACAGTTGAGTTTAATTTATCCTATTTTGTTCTGTTAACATTCTACTACATTGTGTGCCTGTGTTATTATGTACGGATGATGCAAATGCCATCCTTACTATCTCATTTGCATTGTTTTTGAAAGATTGATATTAGCCATCCCTACATTTACTTCCTTTTTTGAAAAGTTTTTTGATTACTTGTTTTTAATTCAGTGTTTCAATAGATATACAAAGATTGTTTTAATTCAGTGTTTCAACAGACATAGGAAGGTTGTATTTATAACCAAGTTCTAAATACATTGAGGTTCCAACTGTAATACCTATCGTTTACATTAGAATTATGATTTTTTAAAATTACCACTAGTTATTAATAATACTTATAAAAGTGGATACTCCGTTTGAAACTATGTCACCTCAGTGAAATTGTTTTGGTTTTTGAGTTATCATGTAATACAAAAAGAAACAGAAGAAAGAAGAACAAGAAATTCTACCTTTTTGCTATGATATTTACAGACATTCCCAGAACTTGTGACTCAGTCATTACATAGATATTGTTATAAAAGGAAACACTGTATAGTACTATAAAGTTATGATGAACTATTGAGGAGATATTTAAAATACCATTTAGATGAACAATCCGAGCCATCCCTATATAGGCAGTGCTGCCACCTGCCTGATAAATAATTAAATAAGAAAATAATAATAATAACGTATTCTAAGTGTTTCCTCTCACAAAGTTTGAACACTTACTTGCACGTAATCAAGCAGTTTGAGTTTTGTGAAATATCCATTCACCAACAGTGGTCCCCGAATATTGAAATCAACAAGATTCCGTACATAAAATACGAACATTTTCAATTCTGGGCGTATGAAATAAAGATTTTATTACAACCTGTTTTTAAAAACATCAAACTTGCGAGTCTCCTGGAAATGGAACATTAAATTTATTCTTCATTTTTAGAATAAAAACACAAAATGTCGCCGCACAACCGACTAATATTTGTACAGTTCTCAGCGTTTTAATAGAACGAGTTTTCAATTTATTCATTTATTTTTGCTTCAAGTTGAACAGTCCTTCTGAAGCGTAGAAATACAACAGTTATGTAGTTTATGGTTTCATCAGTTTTATAAAATGGTTCCCTAGGCAACAACTGTATTGTTCCATACAGAAACAGAATAAAACCAACGTGTTTGTTACCAGGAAAGTTTAACAATGTTACTTTTATATCGTGTGCGTGTTCGTTCATACGGTGTTAAGGTCGTGTGACAATAATGTATGTTAAGAAACAAATAATCCACTTTAAAACATTCCACCCAGTTCTATTTGACATGCTTTAAGACATTCCACCCAGTTCAGGATGGCCTGGTTTAAAACATTCCACCCAGTTCTATTTGACATGCTTTAAGACATTCCACCCAGTTCAGGATGGCCTGGTTTAAAACATTCCACCCAGTTCTATTTGACATGCTTTAAGACATTCCACCCAGTTCAAGACGGCCTGGTTTAAAACATTCCACCCAGTTCAAGATGGCCTGCTTTATAACATTCCTCCCAGTTCAGGATGGCATGCTTTAAAACATTCCACCCAGTTTTAGGTGGTCTGGTTTAAAACATTCCACCCAGTTCAAGATGGCCTGGTTTAAAACATTCCTCCCAGTTCAAGATGGCCTGGTTTAAAACATTCCACCCAGTTCAAGATGGTCTGGTTTAAAACATTCCACCCAGTTAAAGATGGCCTACTTTAAAACATTCCACCCAGTTCAAGATGGCCTGGTTTAAAACATTCCACCCAGTTAAAGATGGCCTGCTTTAAAACATTCCACCTAGTTAAATATGACCTACTTTAAAACATTCCACCCAGTTTAAGATGACCTGGTTTAAAACATTCCACCCAGTTCAAGATGGCCTGCTTTAAAACATTCCACCCAGTTCAAGATGGCCTGCTTTAAAACATTCCACCTAGTTAAAGATGGCCTGCTTGAAAACATTTCACCCAGTTCAAGATGACCTGGTTTAAAACATTCCACCCAGTTAAAAATGGCGTGCTTTAAAACATTCCACCCAGTTTAAGATGACCTGGTTTAAAACATTCCACCCAGTTAAAGATGGCCTGCTTTAAAACATTCCACCCAGTTCAGGATGGCCTGCTTGAAAACATTCCACCCAGTTCAGGATGGCCTGCTTTAAAACATTCTATCCAGTTCACGATCGCCTGGTTTTAAAACAATCCACCCAGTTCAAGATATTCCACGTTAAAACAATCCACCTCACAGCCCAGTTTATTTTCGTGTTTTCTACTATTTCAGTTGCTGATGTAATAATCGTCATACACGAAAATAAACAGTTTCAAGATTTTTTAGTATAAAAATGAAAATAAGTGTTAACGGAGCAGGTAAAATAGGGTCAGTGGTTAAATTAAAAGTTAATGCTTTTAATGAGAGTTAAGTGATATATTTAATGGTCAGTTTTCCAATACTCTATCTATTTGTCTACCTTGTCTGACTGTCTGTCTTTCTATCTTTGTTTCTTAATATCTGTCTATCACTATTTATAGTTTAAAGAAAGACAGATTTCGAAGCTAAGCCTATATTAGAATCATCTTTACTTATAGTTAGTGTGAAATTTAAAGCCGAAACTTTCAGCTCACGTACGTAAAGTTATAAATATAATAAAATAAATGAAATTAAAAAAACTAACACGTTTAATATGTACTTTCTACTTTTATCGAAATTCGTTAATCGTCTGAAAATATGAGCGGCGGTTTAAAGTTTTAAAATAGTTTCGTTGTTGTATTATTTCAGTTTTCCTTAAATAACAGCAAGAAGACCATTTATTTTTATCTCGAAAAATATAATTAAAATTACCTGTAAGAACGAATTCCCTTAGGGACGCATTGGTCGCTTTGAAACCATATAGAATGTTACTGAACACTACGTGGCGCTTAAACAGTTACCATGGCAACTAGTGTTGCTGCTATTAAATTAGTTATGCTATACTGTTTTCTTTACACGTTTCCAAAACCGACCAATCAACAGATGTGATAAGAGCCCAATAAAAGACAGCTTGTTACGTTATAATTCTGAGAAAACACATAGTAAAGAAATAAAGGGGGGGGACGAGATTAAATACTGGGGCGTGATAACTTTTGAACACAAAAATGTATATACGAGATATAGCTCACAGTCGACTACACGACGTTTTTCAGTTTTCGCTAATTACGTACGCGACTTGATTATAGTCTGAAGGCGTCAGGCGCACACGTGACCAATACGACTTCGGTTTTATGAATCTTGCTGTGAGGAAGTCTAACGTTACACGCTGGAAACAGTGGCCAAAAGACAAGAAACTGCTGAAGGTTTCAGAGACCCGACTGTGATTTATTTCTCATTAGAGTGATATTAAAGTCACGTGGTAAAATCTTGAACGTTTGACTGTTTTATCATTTGAGGTAACAATGTATCAGTGCCTCTCTGTGGTACTGTGTCTCACAATATGTGCTATACCTCGACTTTCAGCATACTGTAACATCAACTAAAGAAGGAAAGGCACGTGTCACGAAAAATCCGTGTCAACGAATGACAACCGAGGACGTTATAAAGTCAGTTTCTCGACAGCTGTAAGTATGTAGATATAATCTCAGTTTAACGTTATACCACCCACTAACATCTCCTTCTCACTAGGTGGACTTGGGTCAAGTGGAAACAGTACGTTTGTGTGTAAAGGTGTGGAATTTTAAATAAAACCTAAGCAGGAAAAATTTAAATCAGAATCAATTCTGTTGATCGAATGGTTTGTTGTTCAGATATTGTACGATCAATTATGTGTGTCATATTAACATACACGTCGGTAAAACGTATCAGTAAAATCTGTTGTTTACCATGCTTAAAATACAGCTTATCACGTAGTCTAATTATACATACACGTCGGTAAAACGTATCAGTAAAATCTATTGTTTACCATGCTTAAAATACAGCTTATCACGTAGTCTAGTTATACATACACGTCGGTAAAACATATCAGTAAAATCTATTGTTTACCATGCTTAAAATACAGCTTATCACGTAGTCTAGTTATACATACACGTCGGTAAAACGTATCAGTAAAATCTATTGGTTACCCTGCTTAAAATACAGCTTATCACGTAGTCTAGTTATACATACACGTCGGTAAAATGTATCAGTAAAATCTATTGTTTATCATGCTTAAAATACAGCTTATCACGTAGTCTAATTATACATATACGTCGGTAAAACGTATCAGTAAAATCTATTGTTTACCATGCTTAAAATACAGCTTATCACGTAGTCTAGTTATACATACACGTCGGTAAAACGTATCAGTAAAATCTATTGTTTACCATGCTTAAAATACAGCTTATCACGTAGTCATAATATCATTATTTGCATAACATCATGCTATAGTGACTTCCGGTTTGGATCAGAAATATACGTACAGAAAAGAGATAACGTCAGGTTTCAAACAGGAACTACATCGTGTAGTAAAAAAAGATAACGTCCGGTTTCAAACAGTAAATACACCATGTAGTAAAAAAAGATAACGTCCGGTTTCAATTAGTAAATACATTATGTAATAAAAAGAGATAACGTCCGGATTTAAACAGTAAATACATCATGTCGTAAAAAAGATAACGTCCGGTTTCAAACAGTAAATACATCATGTAATAAAAAGAGATAACGTCCGGATTTAAACAGTAAATACATCATGTAGTAAAAAAGATAACGTCCGGTTTCAAACAGTAAATACATCATGTAATAAAAAGAGATAACGTCCGGATTTAAACAGTAAATACATCGTGTAGTAAAAAAAGATAATGTCCGGTTTCAAACAGTAAATACATCATGAGTAAAAACAGATAACGTCCAGTTTTAAACAATAAATACATCATGTAATAACAAAAACATAACGTCCGGTTTTAAACATTAAATACATCGTGTAGTAAAAAAAGATAACGTCAGGTTTCAAACAGTAAATATCCGATGGCTTCATCGACACGCTGTTCATATCAGTCTAACAGATAAATGATAAGGTGTAGAACCCAGGGCTGACGAAGCATGACTTTGGTATGTGTTTAAGATATTACATCACTAAAACACTGCCAGTCAGTTACATTAATATCATAGATGCATATTTCTTGCCGAAGTATCTGAGCGGCTTTATTTGTAAACATTGTCAGAGATATTTAACTTCCAAACAAACATAACAACAATCAACGACCGCCTGTAAAGGTGGTTTCTTTGTCTAACTCTTCAGCATTGCAGGAAGTTCACATATCAGCAAGAGTCCCTAATTTAGCAGTGTAAGACTAGAGGGAAGGCAGCTAGTCATCACCACCCACCGGCAACTCTTGGACTACTCTTTTACCAACGAATAGTGGGATTGAACGACACATTATAACGCCCCCACGGTTGAAAGGGCGAGCATGTTTGGTGTGACGGGGATTCGAACCCGCGACCCTCAGATTGCGAGGGCTATCAGCAAGAGACGAGTTTTGTATTTCGCTTTTTTTACTTGATCGATAAATAACGTTTGTTTTTCTCTAGTTCTATATGATAACTTTCATACCTGTGGTTTTGTACGACCAATTTGTTGTCGTAATTAAATAAATTATCATGTACATTCTTTGGCGTTACTTCCAAAAGAGAAAATAGATTTATTAAAATCTTTTTGGTTTATATAACGGATTTAAAATAGGATTGTATTCAGATTTAAAGCTGATAATGGTTTTCTTGTCAATAGGAAACACATAACTTAAAAACGACATAGTGGAACTTTCACGTTTTCTTGTCAATAGGAAACATAAGCACAATGATGATCGATTTTATGTTTTGTGTTTGAGTCAGAATTTACTAAATTATATACAGTTTCTTGGTAATAGTTACAATATACTTTATAATAAGTTAAAATGCTGAAATAATTACAAACTAATCAAGAACACGAAATTGATTAATTACCTTTATCAGTTGTATAAACATATTGTACTTTTTGGTCATACAAAATCATGAAAGTTAACAACAGAAACTCAAAGTTTAAGTTGATGAAATATTTAATCTTAAAAATGCCCACAGAAAGAAAAATCGTTTAAAAATCAATTCCGAACTTCTCCATTTGACAAACGGTTTTAAAATGTAATAACTATAATTTGTCATTTGTACCAAAATAAGTAGAAATTTGTTCACGAAATAAAAAACCAGAGGGCGCCTTCAATAGCCGAGGAACTTGAAATTCTTTAAGGAAGGATTAGAGTAAATTAATCTGTGATATTCTTTTTTTTCCCCTTTTTATTAGCTATATTTTTGTGCGTCAGAAATTCCAAGCGTGGGACGCGTGTAAATACTATTGGATTTCATTACTCATCAGGATCTCTACCAGCCTACCCTCAAATTGAAATTCTTTTAGGCAGGATTAGAGT